ACCCAACATATTAACTTCAGTGTTGCTATTTAATTGGTGTTTCCGACGGTTAAAAAGGGTTCAATGATTCTTCGTATCTATTCCAGATATTAGCCTAAATGTATGACATTCAGAATAACACTTTGCTGGACTCACGTAAGCAACTAACAAATGGATCAGGTACTCTTGTTACTCGAGTTTGTGATAAAATGTATGCTGTTTTTTGATTTGAAAGATAACAATGATTCAAACATAAAATGTTTGAAAATAGATGATGCAGACAAGAACAAGTTGATCATTTACTCTCCAATCATCGTCAACCAGATGACAGCTGGTAAAACTCTATTGCATGATGTCACTGTAAGACGATGTAGTTTTACTGAAAACTTATTTGATCATAACGATCACATTGATGACAAGATTTTCCAAAGGTAAGGATAAAAGATGTATTTTTTTAAAATCTAATATGTGAATGAGAGTAATGCTCTTTTTGATTGATAAATTTATAGTTGTTTTGAAACATTGTCTGATGAACTATTGTATATGATAATATCTCATCTGAGTTCGCCCAATATTGTTCAAGCATTTTATGGTCTCAATCGAAGATTAGATAGGATTGTGCTGAATCATGTTCGCAATTTCATCCTACCCTATGATACATCACTAGTTTGGTTTATGAAACATCTACCATGCATTGAAAATATGATTGAAACGATTTGTTTGGATATTGATTCTGTACTGCGCGTCTTTTCATATAGACAATCGTTCTTTAACCTTCAATCAATTATTCTGAAGCAGTCGTCTGCTTTTACCGTTGAATTAAATGTTGCACATTATTCCATTCTAGGTTCGATTGTATCATGTTTGAATATTCTTCGAATTTGTAATATTTGGATATTTCAAGAATTATACTATGGTTTCTTACAATCACCTGAGGATGGTAGATTTGATAATGACGAGCAGGTTTATAAATCAGTCCTTTTCTTTTTATTATATCTTCGGATGATAATCATTTTTAGACTGAAGCCATCTGGAATACTTTATCCTGTCCAGCTATTATACGTTTATGTGTCCAACAATGTACAGAACACGACATGTTGTGTCTTTGTATTCTCGCTCCAAATTTAACTAACCTACGAGTCACGTCTCTCAAATTAAGCAAGGACTTTTCGAACTATTCAACTCTTGAGACTCTACTCTTGAAACAAACATGTCTAGCCCAATTATATATTGTTATTGATAATACCACAGACATATATTGGAATTCAATTGAAAAATTAATCCATGTATATCAATATTCTCTTGAAGAATTAACCTTGACTATCAGTACTAATCACTTTGATTTCAATGGAAGACGATTACAAGCATTATTGCAGTCCTGCCAATGTCTACAAAAATTACAATTTGCCATTCAATGTAACACTGAGAAGATGGATACTAAAGAGCATTTAATTCATTTCCAAAGTGAATGGTGGTTGGATGCTCGTCGACCACCTGTAATTGTCCTATGCAACAATAATAATCAAATGTTAGTTTCTACAATGCCCTGTCATGTTCCTATAACTTTCAAATTTTCAACTGATCCTTATCAATGGCTATTGAATAAAGGAGAATTCGACTCACCGTTGATCTGCTTTACTAAAATGAAATCAATCCATTTTCAGAACACTCGCTCTCAGCCAATCCATTTCGATATGCTACGTTTCATTCAGCGGACTTTTCGTTCAAATCAACAAATATTAAGATTCAATTATTGGTCATTGGCTTATGTAGAATCAATTTTTGCACAGGTTCGTTCCATTGATTCTTTTATCTCACGTGATGATCATTGAAAACAAAATAGCTGAAAAGTCAACTACGATAATTATTTCATAAGTATCGAATATATACTATTACTTGAATTAAGTTCAAATGAGACTAAAAAAGTCGAAGAAAGATATGAGCTCATGACTAAGTAGTCGAAATTCATGGCCCTAATACTACATTTTAAAATCTTGATCAACTGTTTTTCGAAAAAATCGATTCAAAATTTTCAGATCTTATGTTTTGACTACGATCATTGCGAGTCGTCATTGGATTTTTTTTGAAAATTTTAATAGTGAATTCAGATGTCTTCGGGCGAAATTTCAACTGAAAATTTTGTAATGTAATTTTTTCGAAAATACCAGATCTGAAGATTTTTAGTTGTTGCACTGTTTTTTTTTCATAATATGTATCTGGCCATTTCATTCAGTCAAAAATTTTCATGGTGGCTTTATTATAGTTTATCAACTTATGTTGGTATGACGCAATATTATGATAATAAAGTCGAATAAATTATTTAGAATTGTAGTTTCTCACAGATCCTTTACATTTCCTACTTTTGTAGCATATAGTCGTCACTAGCATACGAGATAAAAAAGCGAATGTCACGCGAAAGATAGATTAAGCATAAAGCTAATGCATTGTGTCGACGTATGAACACTAGTTAATCAGACTCAAGAAAATAAAAAAAATAGAATTTTTAGTCATGTGAAGTTTTATTTTCACAAATGACTAACATGCAAAAAAACATGACAATAGTTAGTGAAGAGCAAGATCGTCATGAAATAGTGCTTTTATATTATTACAGTAGTGATTACGAGGAAGATATGATTAATGCTTGACAGTTTAGATTGTTACTGATAAGGAAAAAACCTTGCGAGTTCTAACTCTCGACCAAGTCATACGCACATATCTTCCTTCAGTTCTCTTAGTCTGATGGAGTATTATCTTCAATGATAATAAGAAGTTGTAGCCAGTATAATAGTTGGAACAGTTCACTCATCAATCACATATCTTAATGATATAGATTATTCGTTTCTCGATAGACAATGCGACATCGTAAACAATAAAAGACATAGTCATGCTATTAAATCATGATTTCATTTGCAGCTTATGGCTATGAAATCAGTGTTCCCAATATTGCCCAATGTAACGCATCTTTACTTGAATTCTTCTGAATTGAACGGATTAAATGCAATGACATTGATTGTATGGCTTTCATTTGCACCTAATGTGAAAAAATTGGATTTGAGTCACAAGAGTGATACCGTCAAGATGATATTGGCAAGACAATTAAGCGAACTATTAAAGACTGACGAACATATTAAGTCGATTCTTGATCGAATTGAACAAGTCAAGATTATTCCAAATTATTGCAAAAGTGATGATGAAATCGAATTGAATCTTCTTGTCAGTTTTTCTCAAATTTTTTCAAAAGCTGCCATCGTCGAACAGTTGAAATGACTTTATGAAAACATAGTGTATGCTTGACCTTTCGATGATTATCATGAATCAGTATAATTTACTTTGACAACGTTTTTGTAACAAATTGAAATAATTATTCAAAATACACGTGAGAGGAATCCATCTTCGTTTAAAACATTAGATTTGATTCATAGAATAATCATCAACATTTGTATGAACTTCTATATATTGACGACAAGATTCAATTAATCAATGTGCTTATTTTTGAGGAACATGATTGACTATTTCTATAGGAAAGGGAGTAGGTCATTGCTGCAATTAGAGACAGATTGAGTGGATATCGATTTTTGAGGGAACTGCCTTTTCATCAAAAGTTCAATCATGGTACCTAAAAATATTTTTAGTCGATTCAATCAACAAAAACTTTGTTTTGAAAATCATCTATCATTTGTTTTTCTTTCAAGCAGGTACATTTCCTATTACCCATGATGCAGATTAATAAATGGAGGATTGTTTCGTGAACTGTTTCTAACACTAAAGCATTTCGCTATGTTACCTATTCTTTTCCTTAAGAAACAAAAACATCAGAGAAAGGAAAAGGAAGGTGTTCGTGAGGTCTGTACAGAAAAGAAAAATTGACATACACGAAAAAAAGAAAAAATATTTGACGAAATGAAGCGATTTTTTCTTTCAACACAGTATACTTCACCTTGAACCGAAAACTTAAATGTTTTCAATATGTAATAAATACACATGATACGTCTAACAATTATTCATTCAAGTGTTTTTCCAATACACATAAAATAGCATTATTATAATCTGGCTTGAATACTGTGTTTCGGTTTTAAATTTCAGATCTATATATAATGAATTCAATCGATGATCAGACAGTAAAGGTTTCAAATATCTATTGTCGACAGAATTCAGGTTAGTATTATTCTTCATTCATCATTCTATTGAATGTTTCTTATCTCGTTTGAAGAAGATGACGTTCTTTGGGTTAACAAACGGCTGAAACTAGACCATAAAGATCGAAGCAGTTCGTCGTTTCAAACTTCAACCACATGTAATCCAAGTGGCCCTGTCAGAACTACAACAAAGAGTTGCCTGAAAGAAAATTCGATACATCTGAAAAATATTGGAAATATTGAGAAATGGCAGACAGGTGCAATCATCCAAAGGAGGAGGTGAAGTGATTTATATAAGAAACTTCTCCTTTTCATATAATCATTAGATAGTGATCTTGAGGGTGTGGATGTGGGGAGTATGAATGTGGGTGTGGGGAGTGTGGATGTGGGTGTGGGGAGTGTGGATGTGGGTGTGGGGAGTGTGGATGTGGGTGTATGTGGCTGAGGTGTAGGGTGTGGGTGTGGGTGTGAGCGTAGACCCTCTCCTTAGTCACACCCACACCCACTCACACCCCACACTCTTTCTTGAGAAAGTCTTTCCACTAGAATCAACTGAATACTGGTGATTTCGTCCGAAATCCAACACGATCTGTATCATTGTTCCTCGACACATTACCACAGAGTGATTTCCGTTTTCACAGTTTATCATTGATTATTCGATTTGGTCCGTTTGTTCAAATCTTAAGATAATCTTGAATATTCGCTTGGTCTCAAGTTAGAAAAGGAACTTTTTATTTGTGATAATGTCGATCAAAAGATCTTATAAGATGAAACAGACAACTGTAACTTCCTGAAATAGAAATTTTTCTGAGTCGATTATCGCAGTTAAAAATTTTCACATACATAGTTATTAACAGCTTACAATTATCAAAAAGAAGAGATTATTTATTGATATTCTGATCGAACACTGTTTCGTGTATTTGCTCTATCGTCCAAAAGATTTGCCCGTTTCTGTAAATACTCTCGATTTTCATCACACATTCGTTCCCATTCATTGATTGTGATCGTTCGATTTTCTTCAAAGCCATGACGGCCTTTCTTACATCCACCCATACTACCGGTAGTGATCACCGTCTGATTACAGCAAACAAATTTGAAACGTTGTTTCGCTCGTTCTAAACGTTCACGTTGTGTTGGTTGGTTGACGGCTAATGCTTCTTCTTTAAGTAGTTGTTGAACAGCCGATCTTTGACTACATTTAACTAGTCCAACAGAGATGTTATCATACACAAAACCATCATGATGTACACATACACCCATCTTGTTGTCCTGTTCCAAATAGTAATCATTACATTTAACACATTTGATCTTTTCTTCTTGACGACGACGATTTTCTTCTTCTTCTTGAAGTTCTTCTGCAGTTCGTGTAAATTGAATAAAATCACAAAACTGTCGTAAAAGAAATGGATCTCGACCAACAACAACTGCCCAATTTTCTTTGACAAGTGCTTGTTCTTCATCCGATCTTGCCTTATCGACATGAGCCTTTTGAAATCGATCGCCAACAAATGTAAAAACACCTTGATTGATCAATGAAACATTTGTTGAATTACCTGTTGATGATTGTCCTTCACTTTTGTTAACACCAACAAGTGAATCTAAATCGTATACAATCATCGATCGTCGATAGCTACTACATTCATCGACTCGTTCGGTTAAGATTTCAAACTTTCGTTTTTCATCATAGGCACTTTCGATTGAAAGTAAACTAAGATCGATCAATTGAAGAAGTTGAACATTACGAGATTTTCCATAAATAGTCAAACGTTCCAGTAAATTTTGCATATCAATTTCACGATCAGTTAAACGTTCATGATAGACAATTTTTTCATGTTCATCTGTCGAATGGGATAAGATAGCTTCGACATCAATCTGACGTCTGGAAAGATTGATTACAATTCGACCAGTATAAACTGAATTCTTTTTATTTGGCAATGTACCAAGAAGCGCTGTTTGATCATCTTCCAAAGCGCGTAATAAGAGTGTGGGCAATGTTTCAGATCCAATAAAAATGCGATATTGTTGAGCAATATCATTAGTTAGTTCAAGTGCTGTTCGATAATCAATTTGATAATTTGGGTCAGACCGTGTCATATCGACACAATGAAGAGTGATTAAACGACGAAGAGCCCTGAAAAGGAAAAAAAGACATTTCTATGTGTCTTTAACTAATCTAAAGATTTATTAGATGTACGATTAGAGAAGTTAACGAAAGCGATTTAAAAATGAAAGACACATTTCTCCCTTTCTAAAGTATGAAAATTTGAACAATGTAGTAGGAGTAAGACACATTATTATGTAAAGAAATATTTTTCTTTTATGAAAGGTAAATTGGTAAATGTGTGTTACAATTTCTAAGTCTTAAAGCTCTAAATTCTGACTCAATAAAAGATATACTGAATGTCTGGAGAAATTATATGTTGGATAATTTTTAGCAAGAAAACAAATTTTTTTCTTAAAAGTGAATTGATTTTTGGACAGTAAAGTCAAGAGAAGAAAACGAAACCAATAATTTTAACTTAAAAATTACGTTTGACCACAGAAAGTCAAAACATTAAAGAAAATCTAAGCCATCGTTGTAAAATAAGTTATTTTATGGAGCTTTTTTAACACATAATTTATATTGTTTCGTACTTCAAAGTTTTAACTAGAAGTTTTCTGTAGACGCTTATTAATATTCAATATTTATTTCTAAGTTCTTACTACAAAGATCATATCTTTCTGTCTACCTTATAGTTGTGTTTTTTGGTTAGGCATGATTTTTGAAAATAATTTTTCATCTACTTTCTTTAACGAAACAATGCTTAAACTCTTGTTGCATGTATAATTGACTCTTTGAAGTAACTAGATAAACCGATATTCGAGGCAAATATCTTACCGCAGTGCTGCACCACTAAAGTTAGTCGTAGCCATTGTTAAATTTTCCAAAAGTGCAGGTTCCATATACCATGTTTTGATACCGGATAAGATACTTTTTCTTGCCTGTGAAGAAGGTCGTCCAACAAAGAACTTGCCCTGCATGCGTCGCAGGAAAGCATCATCCATCATGTTAAGTCGATTTGTGGCGCAGAAAATCATTAGATTAGGCACATCTTTGATACCATCAATAACTGACAAGAGTACACTTAATCTCGCTACATTTCCATCGCTAGTATCATTTGTGCGTTTGGGTGCAATCGCATCGATTTCATCGATTGAAATACAACACATAAGATAGGGTATACGATGACAACGCATACATATATCGTTAATGATCCGTTCCGACTCACCGACAAACGATCGATTAAGTTCACCGGCAGCTAATGGTGGTGCAACCATGCTGATACCCATGCGTCTTGACAAGTTACTCATAATGTCCGACTTTCCCGTACCTAACGAAAGAAAAACATGTTAGTTATAGTAAGTGTTATAAGCAAAAAGCATGGCCGAATTCTTTTGACGGTTTGCTAGTCTCAAATATAATCGTTTGATCTAGTACTGTAGTGCAATGCATTATAACTGGACTTACCAGGAGGCCCATACATGATGAATCCTCGATTAGGCTTGATCAGATCTTGACTACTACTGTCTCGTATTCGTTCGTCGAGTGCTTTATTGATGTTTTCCAGCATATCATCGATTTGACTCAGTCGACTACGCAATTCACTTCGTCTTGGCTCGAGTCGTTCACGTTCTTGTCGATATTTACTGATTTGTCTTTGATAAGTAGATCGTTGTGAATTATTATCTCGTGTCATGTTCATAGTTCTTGTAGTGTTCGTTATGCGTTCGTCAAATTCGTAATATTGATCTTCGACTATTTCAAGATCATGAATTATATTTAGACGTTCTTTATCCAATTGATTCTTTTCGGCTATTCGCCTAGCTGATATGGTCACCCAGCGAGTGTGAGACACTTTGAGATCTTGTTCGACAGTTGTCAAAGGTAGAAAGAATTTTCTCATTCGATCGAACAATCCATCATCGGCAAAACCTTCCTGACGCATTTCGCGAAATGACAAATCAACACATCGATAATTGAGTTTGGGCGGAGTCGGCACATTGGCAGCGGCAAATTGCTCTTCGAGTATGTAATGGAAATAAAGACGAATTTGATGCAGACACGCGAGTAGTTCAGATTGAGAGAAGATTTCTAGAATGAAAATAAGTGGTTTCGAATTAAGTGTGCGCTATATTTGAGATATTCAGGCCGTGCAAGTTTTATAGCACATGGTATTATATGGTTTATTGGTTTCTGTTGCTACAGCTAAGAGAAATGAGTATTACATGTAAAATTTCGCTCTTTCGGACATGCTTCCAAACCAAATTCTATCTAACAATGGAACCGTCTGTATTGTTAATCTAGTTGATCGACCATGTTCGGGTCAAATGAAAGCTCTCACCGCCAAACTAACAAATTTTAAATATTACGTTCCCATAGCGTACCTGGAGCAAGTTACTTAAATTTCAAGGTATGAGAAATTTAGGTATAAAAATGAATCGGTAAAGGCTTTCTCCACAATTGTAAGGACAAAACATGCTGCTGTTCGGGCCGATTAGGGGCTTGAAGGGACTCTCTTTCATATGGCCCGATCAACACTATGTTTTGTCCTTACAATAGTGGAGAAAACCTTTACTAGTGCATTTTTATACCTAAATTTCACATACCTTGAAATTTAAGTAACTTGCTCTGGGTACGCTATGGGGACGTAATATTTAAAATTTGTTAGTTTGGGGGTGAGAGCTTTCATTTGACCCGAACATGGTCGATCAACTCAATTAACTGTACAGAAGGTTCCATTGTAAGATAATCTGTGGAAGATACAGAGCCCGATATAAGTCCCAATGCATGTCAAAAAAACTTTTTTACTAAATGAATTATAACAAAATTTTGGCGATAGATCGGGTTCAACAAATCCGAATCGCAGGCGTGAATCGCGCACCAATTGTTTTAATGGAAGTTGAATTATGGATCCGAAAAAATATTTTCATTGAGATCACGGTTTCTTAAGACGCGACAATCTTCAAAAGTTTCTTCTTTTTTTCCTCTAAGCGAAATATTTTCCTGCTTTTTTGTCATGATTAATAATAATAAGACTAAGAACTTAAGTATGTACGCACCGTTTCGTTTGTTATTTTTCTTTTTATCAGCAACCGTTTGTTTTTCTTGATCGACAAAAGCTCTGAGTAATTTGCGTGCATTTACTGATAGTGCTTTGATTTCAGACCATTCTGGAAATTTCAAATTAGCCAACTGAGAATATGTAGTAACATCCTCTTCACGTAAGGCATTGATCCATTTTTGAGCTAGATTATTGTTCAATTTGTCACAGACATCATTGACAAATTGTTCCAAAGAAGCTGTCCTTGGATGGTCCACGTTATGCTGTTGTTGTGATAAGTCCTGAGCCTGCAACATGTCAGCTTCGGTTTGAATTTTGTAGAAAATTTGACAATCAACAGAAAGGTTCCATTTGAGTGGAAACTCAACAGCAAGATTAACTGGCCTCAACCAAAGCTCGAGAATCTCTCGCATATGATCAAACCGCCATGCATCAAATTCGTCTTCAATTTGTATTGGTTCTGCAAGCTGAATTTTTTTCATTGGACGTCCATAATCGATAAAATTTCGATTTAGTAGCTGCTGTCGAATAAATAGATCTAATATACAACCACGTGTCAAAAGACTATTCGCTTGAGTTGTAGAACCAATCGTTCCTCCTCGTGAACTATATAAAACAATAGTATGTTCATCATAATTGCAATTTATAGTAATAAAAGCAATAAGTTGGTTGTCAGTTAAAGTCACATATCGGATGTTTCAAAATGATTGCAACATTGCTTATTTTGCAGATATCTCGACACTGTTAAAACATAAAACCTTGAATTCTCTGTTGAAAAATGCGTGTCATAAAAATCTCTACAAAACTGGAGGAACGAAACCATTTTGACTTGTATTGATGTTGTTCTTTTTCAAGCTCAAAAGCGAAATTTTATATGATAGTGGAATGTTTCACGATTATAAAAGTGAACAGAATACTGGTGAGATTGTTCATTTTATCTATGAATCAGCACACATAAGTCATGGAAGTCTGGATTTTTTACAGCACTACTGCATTATAGTTTTGTAAGAAAACTGGCCATACTATCACAAACTTTGTTCTGAATAGAAAATGACAATTTTGAAATGCACTAACGTTGGTGTCACTTTTATAATCGTGGAACATTTCACTATCATATAAAATTTCGCTTTTAAGCTTGAAAAAGAACAACATCAATACAAGTCAAAATGGTTTCGTTCTTCCAGTTTTGTGGAATTTTTACGGCACGCATTTTTCAAAAGAGAATTCAATATTTTATGTTTTAACAGTGTCGAGATATCTGCAAAATAAGTAATGTTCCAACTATTTTGAAGTATCCGATATAATCAGTAAAAGTTGAAAGTCTTAGAGTCGAAACACATTAATAGCGTCTTTTCTATGAGTTCACCTGCTATTACATTGAAGCTATACGAAAGAAAAATACCTTGAAATGTTTTGAGTTATTTGTGTAGGCTCTTGAAAGAAGAATTCATGAATAAATTCGGTGATCGATGCCGCATTTTTTTTCACATAAATTATGCACATTAGTTGAGACACTGGATCAATCTGTGTAGTAGTCTCCACTACTGATGCAGTATTGGCTTGTGTTATTGGTGTCTGATCTTGAACACGTATTGCTGACCGCCGAATGGGTCGATCGTTATCAGACTGGTTATCGATGAACTTTCTGATAACGTCTTGCGCAGCACTGTCTTCATTGTTGTTCTCCACACAACATTTTAGATAATCAAGATTAATTTTATCATCGAATAAATTTAAATGTTGAGCCAGTGCAATTAAACTTTGTTGACTCAATCGATTCATGCTGCCTCCATTTAAAATTGCTTGATGAGTTACACGAATTTGAGATAAACGAGCTCGATTAAGATCCGACCAAGAAGCAGATAAAGAGATAAACTCTTGAACCGATTGCTTTGCGTCCATGGTTTTTTGTCAAAAATCTGAAAAGATTCAGTTAAAGGTAATTGAGTTTTTATATTTCGTATTCAACTTGCATATGTGTTACATGGGCTTTTGAAAGTTACTGACAAGGTTAGAATCTATGCAATTTCGGCAAGAGCCAATCTCTACTAGAATGACAACTTATCTGATGATTCGATGCGTTGTATTAGTTTCCGGGAAACTGATTTTACTGCAAGCATATGTATAAGAGATTTTCAATGGCCGTAATGGCCGTAATGGCCGTAATGGCCGTAATGGCCGTAA